TGGAGGACAAGTGGGTAAAATTAGAAAACCACAGCAGCATTTCTGACTCAGGTGTGAATCCAGAAATGTATGATTCTAACTGGTTTTTATCTATCCAGGAGAACTAGAAAGACTAAATAGATTTGCTAAAGGAAAGAAAAATCAAACTTCTGTCACTGGAAACCCTTTAAATCTCAGCATGTTTGGGTTTCTGATGCTTTCTGGCAGGCAGAGCATGACTGGGACTTATGGCTGCCAACTCTACATCTGAGCCTTAACAGCATTTCCTCATTAAATCTGAGAAATGGCCAGGCATGAGGAGGTGATGGGAAAGGCTAGATCTCAGGGCACCAAGGCAGATTTGTATAGGAAATCCCACCCCAAAGAAGCAGCTTTCTGTAGGAAAAACCTGCCCCCATAACAAGTTTTTGTGCCTGGGTGCAGCCAGTCATGTCCCAGTGTGGTTATTCTCCTGTCTCCTCCTCTTTCCATTTTGCAAAGTACAATGATGCCAAAACAATGTACAGGTGAGTCAGAAATAAAGAACAAAAAAAGGACTGAAATACCTCCCAGACCACAAGATGTGTGCATTTATCATAAGCATGTCACCAGGCAGACCCCCCTTTCACCCCAGAAGAGGGGCTGTCCTACATTTCTCTCTGCCACAGCTCTCTTGTGCCACCTTGGCTTGTCGGGAGCACCCAGCCCCTGGGAGGTTTCCCTTGGGTGTGCTCAGGGGAGGAGCTGCAGACCTCAGTCTTGTGTAAAGGTTACTGTCATTGTGGTGTCTTTGGGCTGTAAGAGGATCATTAGCACCCCAGCGATCCTAAATGTTTATCGTTCTCATTTCCATTGATTTCCTAAGCCTGGGTTGCCCTGGAACTGGAGCATAATGTGTCTCCGAGGAGCTGGATACACAGTTTTTCCTTCTGGCACCAGGCAAGAGGTAATGCTTGGTCAGTGAGAACTGCTGGAGGAAAGGTGGCTATGATGCTTTCTTGTTCTGTGAAAGTGTTCCTTTTCAACTCTGTCAAAACAGCTTCAATGAGAATGGTGGGAACTTTTCCTCCATTTCTCACAGATGCAAAATATCCCCTGCACTGCTGATTCCTCATAGCTCTGTAACTTTCTCATTACCTCTTAGCAGAGTTCTTGCCAAATGTGTAAATCAAAAGTGTATCATGGCAGCTTTTAAGTGCTCTGGAACTTTCTGTTTTCAGCCTTTTTTCTTTCTTACCCTCTTTCTTTCACTGCACCTTTCTAAGTGCAGCTCACTGATATATGCCCATCAATGGCTTTTGTCTTTTACAGAAAGCATTAAGATTCCATGGGAACCATAAAAATTAAATAATGGTTTTATAAATTCTCAAAGACAGGGAAAAACATCAGAAACTCATAAAAGTTAGTAGCTTGGAAATAGGTGAAACAGGAATTTCCAGTCTGAGTTCTTTTGGCTTTGGGGAAAGGTCATTTGGAAGGATTCCTTAAAATAGAAAAACCAGTTAAACAGAGATATATGTGTTTTCCAGTTGAGGTATTTATATGAGATTTTACTCAAAAATCTTGATGTCGTCTGCTTTCCTCTCCACCTTTACACTTTCTTTTCTTCTACCTGTGGAAACTGCTGGACTTCATTTGCCACATGGAGAGGAATCTTTGTCTTCCCTAAAAATTTAACAACAGTTTGTGAAGAGACTCATTTTTGGCTTTTGTTAGATGATACAATATTAACCTCACTGGAAAGTTTTGGCCAACCAACCTCCTTATTTCTTTGGATTCATATTGGTCTCGACTATGAAGTCAGGAAGGTGTCTTCAGAAGGCTTCATCTTGCCTAATATATTAGGGAAAATGGACATTTGGATAAACTTTCCCAGCTTAATGTAGGTAAGACAGCAAAGAATGGTATCAGAAAAGACAGCTGACTTTGCTAAATTGCTCCAGAGCAGATTTTACATTCTAAGTACAGTAAGTGAACATATAGAATGGTTAGAGGTTAGGAAATAAAACCTTGTATAATAATACCACAATTTATTCCCTGAAATTGTTTGTATGGATTTGATTTAGAGGTATTTACTAGTTTAAAACCTTCTGAAATGGGGGAATACCTTTGAAATCAGTGTTTTAATTTTCTGTGCTTTCTTCTGAATGTTTTTTATTTAATAAACTACATTTGTAACAACATTAGTGAGTTTAACTTGTAAGCCCAAATACTTACTTTAGTCAGACAAATAAACTAACCTCCAACCAGAAATAGCCTATTATGTCTGAGAGGATTTTCTCCTGTTAATTGAAAATGAACTGGAACTAAGCTAAATTGCTTGAATGTTTAATCTTTCCTTGCTACAGTAGGGTTACTAGCAGGTGCACACACAGGCACATTTCTAAACAGAAATAACAAGCTATTTAGTGTTTCAGCCCTGGCAAGTGCTGAGAAGGGCAGTGACCTGTAATACCAGGAAGCGTATGAGCATTTCCAAGTCTCAAGCATTTCTGCTAGAAGACAGCTTCACAAATCTTACATTTGTTTGTAGCTGAGGGAAATATTAAAGAAACATCTCACAGGAAATATTAAAGAAACATCTCACATTAATTTCCTTTGTCATTAATGTAGAGAGAATTTAATCTCCAGAATATGGAACTAGCAGGAAAAGCAGGAAAATACAGAGGTTGTTTTAAGGATCAAGCAGCAGGATAGATTGGATCCCCTGTCCTGAGGGAAAATTGCAGCAGTTGCAGCTCCTGTTCTGTAGGCATGGGCTCCCTGTACCCTCATGGATATGCAGCATGTTCAGGCTGGTCCTGCAGATAATTTATGTGGGGCAATTCCTGTAGGTGTAGCTGAGGGAAATGTTAAAGAAACATCTCACAGGAAAACTGATTTCCTTTGTCATTAATGTAGAGAGAATTTAATCTCCAGAATATGGAACTAGCAGGAAAAGCAGGAAAATACAGAGGTTGTTTTAAGGATCAAGCAGCAGGATAGATTGGATCCCCTGTCCTGAGGGAAAATTGCAGCAGTTGCAGCTCCTGTTCTGTAGGCATGGGCTCCCTGTACCCTCATGGATATGCAGCATGTTCAGGCTGGTCCTGCAGATAATTTATGTGGGGCAATTCCTGTAGGAGGCTGAAAGTGGGGAATTGCCCTGTGTCCTGAGGGAACCTCTCAGCCCAGAGAAGGTAGGAGAGGTGTTTCAGAGGAGGAAAGGTTTGTCTGGCAGGTGGATGGTGACTAACCCCTGCTCTCAGGAGCTGTGTCCTGCAGAAGATGCTGCCCAGTGAGGAGGAGAGCTGGGGAGGAGCAGATGCCTCCATCTCAGTGAGGAAGGACATACACATCCCCTGGACACGTTAACTAAAATCAACACTGCACTTACCCAGATATGAGACAGCAGATCTTTAAACATTCTCTGAAAAACCCACCAAACACACCTCCTAGTCTCCTCATTATTTTCACTGACAGGCAGTTCCTCCTGTCTTGCAGCACTCCTCAGCCCCTTTTTAACATTCCCTTTTCTATCCTTTAGATACAGGTGCTGTTTTGCTCCACTGCCACAATTAAAATTGCCTAGACAGAGGCAGTACAAAGGTGCTCTTTGCTCTCTTGTTCCTCAAAGCATGGAGATCAAGAACTGGATCCCCAGCCCACTGACATCAATGGGAGCCCTTCCATTCACCTCATGAAGTCTGTGCCAGGTCAAGGAGGAACACAGATGAGAGAAGGCAATTTGGCTGTCACATTTTCCTTTCATCAAGAGCTTTACACAGACAAACTCTTTTTAATGCAACTTCTGCTGCTGAGTTGGAGATTTTTGTCCCTGTGAAGTGAATTTCCACTAATAACTACAGAGGTTTTCAGGATGGGTCTGAGAATGGAGCAAAGAACTAGAGTTATGTGGGACATCTGAGGTAATGGATATTTTCATTACTTTTTTTCTCCATTTGTCATCTAAACTGGAGGGAGACAAGTAACACCAGTTTGGAGAACAGCAGGTGGAAAATGAAGGCAGAGTTAACAGGGTGATTTAGCTCCAGGCAGCATCCCTGCACCCTGGCACACAGCAATGGGGCTGAAGTGGTGGCAGAGGGCTGAGGGATGGCATTCAGGTGGCAGCTAAAGCACCAGTGCCACTGTGGACACAAAGGCAGCCAGAGCACAGGGAAATGAGCATCATTTTAGTGGCCTGGATGGGACAGGAGAAAGGATCCAGCTTTCAGTCCCCAGTCTAGATGGGATGTGTAGAAATGGCTGCACTCATCACAACTGCTTCATTCCTGGCCTCCCTGGGGTGCCAGGAAGGAAGAGATCATCCTGGCAGAAAGAGAACTTAGCAGAGCTGGGGACTTTGGGTAAGTGTGTAGATATGATCTACAGTTTGTGGTGATTGGGAGTGGGGCTGAGCCCCATCCCCAATGGGTGCAGCTGTGCAGGACAGGTGAATGACATTGAAGGTAACGAGCCATGGAGTGCCCAGGGGCACTGAGCAACCACCAAAGGGGGCAGAGGGCACACAGGGGCAGGGCATCAACAGGAGGGGATAAAAGCTTGGGCTAAAGGGCAAGAAGGGCTGGTGCCTGAAGCCTTCTGAAGAGGTAAGGTTGTCCTCTGTGCGGGTTAAATCTTTCTGAAATTGTGTGGTGATACTCTGTGCATTGTGACTGTCTCAGCTGTGGCCTATGCTGTGAGTGGCTGTAGCATTTTCACTTAGAAGATATTTAAAATAATATTTAAATAAACATATTTATTTAAAATATAACATGGCATCTTTAAAAATTATGGATTTCTCTTCCTCTGTGCAGGTTAAATCTTTCTGAAATTGTGTGGTGGTACTCTGTGCATTGTGACTGTCTCAGCTGTGGCCTATGCTGTGAGTGGCTGTAGCATTTTCACTTAGAAGATATTTAAAATAATATTTAAATAAACATATTTATTTAAAATATAACATGGCATCTTTAAAAATTATGGATTTCTCTTTAAATATAAAAAAAATTCAAAGTAATGGATTTGTATTTTCTTCATTGGAACAGGAGCCAAAATGTGGTTCTAAGGGCATGACTCTGGAGCTATCAGCTTTCTAAAGAGGAAATGTACTGAGTCACAGGTAAGATAAAAAAAATGATGATTTGTTTCCTTCCTTTAAATGCATATCAGCACGGCAATGGTTGGAAATTCAGGTGAAAGGCTCGCTTTAAATAAACTTTCTGCCTTCTTCTAGTAGCAACTCAAATATCTTAACATTTGGAATGTCATATAGAAGTCAACTTTATTTTGACAAGGCCATGTCCCTGGGATGCTTGGGATCATGGTCAGCCTGTAACAGCTTAATGCATTGTCAGAGAGGTGTGTGAGTGGTGGCCAGAGAGCCATCTGCTCCCTGGGATGACCTCCAGAGCCAGTGGCATGGAGAAAGAAGGCTGGGCACACTTCCCACACACCAGCCTGGCCAAAGCCAGGGATGAAAGTGGAGGTCTTTTCTTTTTTATGGATGGGCGGCGGGGGGGGGGGGGTGTTTACTGAGTGTGCCTGACAACAAAACCATGGATATTTAACTCCATCAGGTTATTGTCTCAGTGAAGGTAAGAGCTAATTTACACCACTAAGACATCCAGTGAGTCTATCAAAGTTCAGAAAATTTCTTTGAAAAATTCTAGGGTCTAAGAGAAAAACAAAAATAAAATATAAAGTTAATATAGAGAGAAATTAATAAGCTGTACTTAGCCCTTTATAGCTTAACTTTCAAAAATTATGCCTTGCTGTAGGTCTACTGTAAGTTACATGTTCTGCCTGTCAAAAATCCTTGGAAACTGCCTAAATGTTGGATGCTGGGCCCTACTGCCCACTGGACAGCAGGGAGTGGTACCCAGCCCAGAGGCTGTGGAACAGGACACAGGTTGGGGCTGCAGCAACAGGTTTTTCTATGCTCTGTTGCCCCCAAATCCCATGAAATACTGAATGTGTCCACATGGCTACTCAAGTACACCAGAAGCTAATGGAAAGATATTATTATGTATTCTCTCTCTCTCTCTCATTTTCTATGCCAACAATGGTTGCTTCTTTGTCAAGTTATTGTTGGCAGAGCACTTTTTTTTTTTTAAACCTTAGACTAGAAAACAATAATAGTGCTTGATGGCACCTCAAATTTGAAAGCTCATCTTTTTTTTTCTGGAAGCCAGCATTGTGTTAAATCCACAATTTGCAAGTTCTTTTTTTTGTTGTTGTTGTAATATCTGAGTTTTTTAGCTCACAGTCCCAACTCATAATTGCACCAGCCTCCATTGCTGATAGGCTGAAGATAACGAAGCCTCAGTTTGGCAGGTTGTCACTAAACAAAATATCTGTTTAGCAAGCCATCAGAATTTGTGGATGAGAGGAAGCAGATGTATCATTAAGCACTAAATGGGAATATCATTTACAGTAGATGTCATGTTTCATTTTGATAAACTGCAAAAAACCCACGTGGAAGATGCAGCCCTGTGTATCTACTGCTGAAAGCAGTGTTTTGAAAGGTAACATTATGATACTCTGCTGCCAAAGCTAAGATTTATTAGAGAGTATGATATATGGCCCAAGCATTACCATAAAAGATAATGAAATGTGATCTGATATGTGAGCTGGTATCCCATATAAAACACTCAGAGAAAAGAAGCTATAACAAATACAATGTACAATTTCACTTTGTAGAAAAGGCACACATGGAGTGCAGGGGCTTGACTGGGACTATCCAATTGTCATCAGCTCTTTGTGGACTTTGGGATGCTGTAGCCCAATCTTCCTTCATAAATGCTGACTGTCCTTGCAGCTGAAGAACATCGTTACTGTCATTTTTCATAGCCTGTAATGATCAAATACACATTAATGTAAATAAGAAGAGACAGTGAAACATTCTTGAAGTGGTTCTGTCATTGGGGAAAAAAAATCCTTTTACTTACCTCTCCTAGTCCTGTCACTGTCTCTTGAGTGACAATTTACTGTTTTTAATGCATGGATCTCTTTCACCTTTCCCTCATTTTGAATGTTTTCTCTCCTTCCAATTTCATCTTATTTCTAATGCCAGTCTGCATAGGATGCTCATCTTCTAAATCACAAGTTAGTTTAAAGGATGTACTTGGAAATGACATGCTTCTTCCAATTCCTCTTTCTGCAGTCAGTTTTGTTAAGACTCTGGTTCAGATTTACCCAAAATATTTCTCAACAACTATATTTTTCTTTCTCTTCCTCGAATCCTTGTCTAGATATTATAACTTACTATGCCTTTTCTTCGGGTATTTACACTGCTCCCCTTATTATCCATTTGAAAGATGTAATATGTATGAAGCAAGTGCAAATCATACTACATTACCATCATAATGAATAGTAAAGCTCCTTCTGCAGTGGCTGATGATCGGCTGCTGGAAAGGCAGAGAAAGACACCACTAAAGCGTGGTACAGGGATGGGTTATGGTTTGCTAGTGTCATTTTGTGTGAATCATCTATCCCATTTGCTACGCCATTGAAATGGGATGAATACAAGCAAGAGCACTGAGGCTCTTCTGAAACATTAGAATGATAGTCATTATTAAGACCAGAGCAAATATTTATGATTTGCCATTGTAACTCTGGAAAAAGCAAAGATTTATATCAGCATACCAAGTACCAGCGAGTTGTTACTTTAGGGAAGAGGCCGTACTCTCCATCTGCTGTAATATAGCAGTGCAGTGTCAGAAAGCAAAGTGCCAGGCATGGAGGCAGGAGACTGCCTCTTCTCATATTATGCAAAGGGGACTCCAGGAGGAAAACAAGGGCATTGAAATGAGGTAGTTTTTGCCCACCAGAACTGGATTTTTTTATGGAAGACTATTAGGAGAGTGAGGGGAAGTGACATCAGTACATACAGCTGTGTAGTATGGTAGGTTTCCAGATGGGTCACATCTTCTCAAAAGGGAATCAGCCTTGAGGAGTAAAGGCACTGGTCAGTGAAACCACTGTACCATCACAACCTCCTGGGGTGGTGAGTGTCATCTGAAGCTGTTGGGGCTCACCAAACCTGCCTTTGGAGCTGAGAGAGGGACTTGCTGTGCTGATGCTGCTGCCACACAGCAGAGGCTGGGCACAGGAGTGGATGCTGGCTCATTGCTGCCCTGAACTGCTCCTGCAAGCCAGCCACAGCCCCTGACTGGCAACTCCTGTGTATGAAAACAGAAAATGCTGATTCTTTTCAATGCCTAGTGGCCCTAGCTGATAGAAACTGCTGCCACAGTGACACAGAAGACAGTGGTGAGGACAACCATGGTTGTTATGGATGTTTCATGCATGCAGAATGAGAGAGATGGTTCACTTTTACTCCTTATGTCAAAAACTGCCCGGTCCAGCCTGTGAGCCAACCTCCTTTGTGCTCTCAATCCTCTCTGAAGCTCCCAGCACAATTAATGATAAATGAACAGCTATCGAATTGATTTCATGAAAGCAATCAGAGATCAATAGCAATACAGTGCAAGTGTTAAACAGTTAACTGCATGTGACTAATTGTGCTCAAAAGATAGGGTGGTTTTGTTCTGCTGACATTTATAAATGGCTAAGCCTTCATTTTCATAGTTTATGATGTCAGATGAATCCTTTGGGAAAGTATTTTCCTTCCCAATGATGTCTATAATTCTGTGCTGAGTGCAATTTAACAACAATTGTAGTGCTTTAAAGCATACAGTAGGCTCACTTATTTCTATATCCAACAACTTGACATTTAAGATAATTTGTTAACTGTAGGAAAAATATATAAACAATGTAATTTTCTTGTAAACAGTTGCCATGTACGACAAGCAGTATAATTGGTAACCTCTGTTGAAAGCACGAACAATGAGAGAGACTTGTGAATGTGGGTGTACAAAATGAAAAGCACTACCTTAGGCTGCCTCTGCACTGGGTCTGCTCAGCTGGAAAACTAAAACAAGCTACAAAGCCTGCTGCTGGAAAAGGTGGTTTTTAGAGAGGAAAAAAGAATCCCACATTTTTCCCAAGGCTGGTTTGTACTCCTTCTGCCAGGATGTGGCTGAAGCTGGTGAGCCTGTTGGGCACGTGGTCATGGCAGCAGTGCTGGGGTTCTATTTGGGACTCAGATCTCTACTTCCATGGGAAATGTGGGTGCAAAACAGCCATTTCTGAATATCAAAACGACTCTGTGCACTACAGTTGGTCAGTGCCAGAACCCTGCTGGTTTCACAGTGATGGAGGCAGAGCTTGGGTTTTTCTTCCCAGGATATCAGCATGGAGTACCCTTAGTTAAGTTTTCAGCAGCTCAGTCTGGCTTTTGTGTGCATTTGTGCTGTTGGAGGAGAAAGAACCCCCTTATTTCTGGTGATCAAATGTGCTAGGATAAAACCCTATGCATCTTAGTGGAGCTGTTCTCACAAGCGTGCTGAGATCTGTGCTGCACTGGACCCCAACTCACAAAATCTTTGGTCAATAAAGAGAAAATATGCAATCACTAAAAGCAACACATTCAAAGAATTTGCTTAGAGATGTACAGTGATAGGATTCTTCCTTAGCAAGAGTTTGGAGGATAAATCATAGTTTAAAAAATTGCTGGATGCTTCATAAGCACATATTCATTAACTCACTGCAATCATTAGAGCTCTGTGGGCTCTGGTTCCTCAGTAAGCTGCTGAGAGGGGAGAAAGAGGATTTATTCCTGGAGGCACATTGTTCTGAGCACATCCTTCATCTGGCCAGTGAAAAGATTCATTTTCCTCTCCTATTCACTCTGCTTTCTTGCAGGAGTGCCTTTTGTGGCACACCTCTCTGTGCAGAGCCAGGCTTCTCCTGTGCCATAACTAGGCTGCCAAAAGCCTTCCCCATCCACGTGCCCTCCCTTATTACAGCAGCTCCCCTTTGTGGATGCTATTGTCCTCTTTGCTTCTGTTTCTCTGGACTCAAAATCAAATGCTCTGTTTCTCCCAATTCATAGTGGTGGAAACGTGCTTTTCACAGAAAAGATCTGTATCTCTGGTTCCTCTAGTTATCTCCTTCTGTGCCACAGTCATCATTCTCAGTTTATATTATGAATCCTGCCTCTATTCAGATTGTGCTTACAGTATATTTAGAGGTACGTGAAACATTTGCAAGCACCTTATCTTTATTTTAAAAGAAAATAAAATTTTATTCCCGCATCAAACACAGTCTTTTAGGGGAATAAGGTTTTATGTACTCCTGGTGCATAGTAACAGTGTTGCTAGGGGGCTGTATTCCTGCAGGATCTCCTTCAGCTGAGGGCTCATCTTAGCATTTGTCAGTGTGTTCAGTGAGAAAAAAGCAGAGAATTGGAAAAAAATCCAACCCCCCCCTCCCCCATTGTTCACATCACTTTAAACTTTCTACAGATTCAAGGATAATGGTTACAAGGCCTTTGCTCTCCTCTGACTTAGACAAGGTGCACACCAGCTTTGTGGTGAAGTAAGTTAAATCAGACCACTATTTTGTCTTAAAAATATGTTGGTACACACCAGCTTTGTGGTGAAGTTAAATCAGACCACTATTTTGTCTTAAAAATATGTGCAAATGTCTTTGTCTTCATGATCAAGCTTAATTACTGTGCAAAATGTTTGTTTAGCACAGAGAGTGGTAATGAGATAGGTGGTTTTGAATGATAAAAGTTGGAGCTGTTAGGGTGTATTTTCCTTCTGTTAGAGCTGAGATTTTGTAGAAATTGGGGAGCTTTCCTTACAAGTGACCAAGATAGACCATGGCAGGCCCCATCTAACCAATCATGACTCCACAGGCTTGAATATGTGCTCACCTTCCAGTGCCCAAGGACTGTGTAAAAACAAACTTCTACATATTCAACATACTCAGTCACTACCCTTGGGGAGAAACAAGTGATTCCACTAAGTAGTTTTACTTACAAAGTTAATCAGATTTAGTTGCTTTTTTAACCCCCTCAGAAATAAGATGGCTACTCTTTTAAACCATGAAGGTCTGGTCTTCAGGCATGTAAAATGAGCATGGCAGTTAGATGCTGGCCAGGGCCAGCTATTTACAGCAAAGGAAGGGAAGGATGGGAAACCTGCATCCTCACTTTGGTCCTTGAAGGCCATGTGATGTTCCTGTAGCAAGAGCTTTGCCTGTTTAAGCTGAAAAACATTTGTGTTATTTTCAGCAAAATCCTGACTGCTTCTCAATAGAGATACAATCTAGTTCAACCAAGGTAATTTTCAAAATACAGTCACAACATAGGATTTACTCTTTAATTGGTTTACTAGAAGATAAGATGCTGTTGCTCATTGTTGTTTTGTTTTTCTTTAAAAATCCATTAACTTCTATGCAGGTCTTTAAATATTTATAAGATTTAAATAATCTTTTAAAGCATCCTCAGAGAAGACATTGACTCTTTTAGTTAAATAGTTCTTATTTTTCTGGTAGGGGAATCGTTTAAGTACTCAGCCAAATAAGTCCCCAATTTAATCACAATATTTTTATACTCCAATGTCTATTTTGTGTAACCAAAGAGAAGTTGGTATATTTATGTGTAAGATAAAAGTTGTTATATTTATGTGTAAACTGACTAATTCCATGAAGGGGATATTATGCAGTGATTCTGGAGCTGCCTGTAAATTAAAGATACTTTTAAATAAACACCTCAGGAACTCATATCCCTCTAAATATTTATATTGTAAGGAAAATTTTGCCACAAAATATTTCTCATCATCTCCTTTCTCCCTTAGAGCTGTCTGAAGTGCTCAGGCTGTTTGCAATATGGATGCAGAGAAGAAGCAAAATCACCCATGAAAGGAGCCATGAAGTTTGTGGTGAAAGCTAGAATTAGAGCCATTTCCAGACATGAGCAATATTCCCACCTTGGCTCACAGCTCACGTGCTGCAAGCGTGGTCTACGAAAGCAAAGGTATGCATTGCCAATAATTCACATTTTCTGGACATTACCTTAGGCCTGACTTCTCACAGTTGCAGGAGACACTTCTCCACAGATGATATTTTCTTTCCAGAGGTCCCTTGCCCAGCCAAAATCTGGGAGGGGAGTGAGGGATGTCCAGCTGTGTGTCTGCCTCAGATGCTTTTATACCTGGGCCTGCTCAGCACAGGCTAAGTGTCAGTGAACAGAGACCCATGGGCTGTGTTTTTCCTTTAGCTGGCTCCTGCTTGACTTTATTTGGTTTTTTTGCAAAATGGTTTTGGTTTCTTTGCTTGTTTGTGCAAACAGCAGAAGTGCTAGGTCTCTGCAGAGTGAAATTAAATGCCAGGTTTAGGATGTCTCTTCAGAGCAATTAATTATTCTTTGGAGATACGGCAAAGGCAGTCTCCAGGACCGTGCAAGCTCAACAGTTTTCCTACACATTTGGCTTGTGTGGAGCCCCTCAGCTGAAACCAGCATTTCTTGGGCATGTCTTGCTGCCAAGCAAATCTGCCTTTTGCAGTTGAGCCTTGTTTTCCCTGCCCACTGCATTGCCCCTGGCAGCCACAGCAGTCAGGCACCAGCAGAAATCTCCTCACTGCGGGGAAAATAATTAACAAGAACAAGCAGAACCATCCATGCACATGGCTGCACCCTAAGAAGATGCTCACAAAGGTGATTCACAATAATGTTCTTAAAACAAAACAGGCACTCTAACAGTAGCCAAAACCAGAGTAAGCACAGGATACTTTCCAGCATTAGCCTAAACCCGTGGTGATAGCGATAAACGATGCGCCGTGTTTTTAATCAAGAGACAATATTCTTGCTGGCTGATTGAAGTGTTTTTATTGGAAATAGCTTCCAAAAATAACCTGTCTTGTTAGTACTGTAAATTCTGCAGGCTAAAATCCTTTGATTCTCATTAAATTAACTAATTACTGTCTCACCGGATCAATGGATTTAGGAGCACTGACATAATCTTGCTAGGAAAGGAATGCTGCCAAATTCCATGACTTTGCTTGAACCTATTACCCTGGTATCTGTGCACTGAAAGAAATTCATCACCATGTAATTAATGGTCTTAGTTGGTTGATTGTCATATCAAAAGGAGGCAAAAATTTAAGGTTTAAGCTAAGCAAACAAAAAAAAGGCTTTTTTTTTTCTTTGCCACAAGAACTGTACATGCAGTTTGCTTATTTAGGGTGCTTTTTTTACAAATATGGAAAAATATTGATGGGGAACAAACAACCCACATAAGGTTCTGCCCAGCACTGGAAGGAAGATGCTGTCCAGGGTGCTCAGCAGCACTGCTGAGCTGGCTGTGGGCAGCAAAGGCTCCAGGTGGAGCTGCTGGGGTGTGGGTGCTGGCTGGCACCCCCAGCTCTGGATTTGCACACTTGGCACTATCCTCTGCTTGGCACAGCCAGGCCAATGTCAGCCTGAGGACCCTGTGCACCAGGATAGGGCTTAGGCAACTTTCAGGACCTTCAGCCCCACAGCTATTTCTTGTGGCACTATTAAAATTCCATTTATGTGCTTTTTTTGCCTAGCTTTGCAATGGACTATTTAGGCTCCTGTCCTGTGTGAGAAATAAAAAAATTGGATTTTATGGTATTAGCAAGCCAATTAATCTCTGAAACAGTTGATCCATAAGGTAGGAGGACTAAATTTTAGAAAGTTAATGGTGCAAATAGGCAAAGCTCTTTCTCAGCTGCAAGCACTGCATTCTATCCTACTCCTAGCTTAGCTGTCCAAGTGGGTTTATTATGTTTGCTCAGCTTTAATCTATACATGTTTTAACATACTCTAAGCTGTTTTTAATTTTAAACTAAGAAACCCTGGCAAATCTCTTTCAATATAATTAGAATTTTTCCTTTAGTTTGCTGTTTAGCCATTATTTTCTTATTTCCGCTTTATTTTCTGCTAGATAAATCCTCTTATTCATTTGTTTCAATGAAGCTTGAGTAAAGGTCATTTAAATTGATTCACCTTTCTTATCTCCCTTGCATTTATTCTATAATCCTTCTTTCCATTGTGTGGAGGAGAATAGCTTTCTTTTCTCTGATTGTTTCTGCTAGAAGAAAAATGGTAACCCTTTATTAAATAAATCTGGGAAAGCTGTGCTCCAAATCCATATTATCACTAGCTTGGGGAAACAAATTATTTCACCAACTTAAAAAAGGAAAACATACAGCACTTCTAGCAGTTTGCTGTTAGATGGCCTGAGCTTTTTGCCTGAAGCCTCCTAAGTGAGCGAGGGTAACACTTTGGTATCATTTGCAAAAGCAAAAAGAAAATCTCAGGCAGCCAAATTCAATTGTGAAGCCCTGTGGAGGTGCAGAGCACAGGGACCTCAGTGGTGCTGGGTGCTGGGACACAGAGCCACTCAACCTCTTCCCATTTGTCCCAGACATTTCCATATTTAGCAGCACTGTCCAGACTCACCAACTTGTCTCTTGGCTCCAGAATTTGAACTGTGTGCTACATGAGGTTTCAGTTTTGAAGGGAATATTCCTCTTTTGATTCCTACCCTGAAATGCATACCTCTGCAGGGGATGGAGCAAGTTTAGAGACTCTCCAAAAGAGCATAAGATATGAAAACAATGAGTGACTACTCAGTTTGCCTTGAAAAATCACCTGAATGCATACTGTTATTTTCTGGTTGTAGTCAGTTGACAAGAATGTCTGTAGGCTCCTGCACCATTTTCTGACTCTGTTCCAGAGAGATGTTTGGTTTTTTTCCTGATCAGGTGATGTTCTGTAATGTAGGACAAATTTTAGATGAATAAAATGTAGTATTTTCTAATAGTGGAATGTTTAAGGAAGCCATACAATTAAGAAAATAGGAACATAAACCAATCTGTTAACAATATGTTCACATATGTAAGGGTGTATGCTCCCCATTTGAAACAACTAAATCAGAATTGCTTTTATTTTGTTGCCAAGGTTACTGAATTTTGAATAGTCTCTAGAGGGTGGTAGTTTTAACTCGTTGAACGGCATCATTGCTTAGTATTAAGAATATTCTGATAAAAGCTATATGAGCTGTGGAAAATCACTTCTTCCTTCAAAAACACCTGAAACTGAGTTGCCACAAGGCTGGTAGGGATGCTCCAGATGCAGTTCAGGTAACCCTACTGCTCAGTGCCCGGGATGGGTTCATGGCCAAGGGCAGATGTGTCAGACCCAGTCACTTGGCACAGTCCAGAGCAGGGAAAGAGATGTTCAGAGGACAAGAAACAATCTTTTAGATCAGTCACAGGAGGAATACAGACAAGTGAGGGAAGGTACAGAAACTGTCTCCAGGACCACAGCAGTGACAGGGATACAACAAAATCTTACCTTGAAATCATTGAGATAAAAGGTGGGGGACCTGACCATAGTACAGAGGCAGCCAATGCCACAGAGCAGAGAAGATGAAAGCTGACAATAAAGAGAAGAAAACAATCAGGACCCAGACTTGATCCTCCATAACAAAATGAGAGCTAGATACCAACATGCAGCAGGATTCCTCCAGAAGCTGCCAGGTCCTAGAAAGGCAGTGGGAATGAGACCTCCACTCACACCCTAGTAGCCCCAGACAGCACACAGGGGACACAATGCCTTCCCCCCCCACTACCCTTTTCACTTTATTCTGTAGGTACCTGCAGGAAAATGTGTTGCAGCATTAGATGTTCCTCCTGTTGAGGCACAAATATGGGAGAATGAGAGGAAATGGCCTTCTCTATGCTGGGGAATAGGAATGCTCTCTTTTGTCTCACCAGCTGTTCTTTGACTCTCATACATTCACAGACACTTGAATCTAATGAGTCAAACTAATGCTTTGGCAAAACAGTTGATAGGAAATTAATATTCAGTTTGTGGTATTGAAATACACTGGTTATACATTTACTGCCACCCACTCATCCGCCTTACAGTTATATACATTGACATTGATATACATTGATATAAGTAATGATAAAGTAATTTGAATTAAATGCTTAATTTAAATATTTTAAAGTATGCCTGTTTGAATGTATCTAGCATATATTAGACTTTAAGTAATCTGCATGTGGTTTTACTATCATGAAACTATAAATCACTGGAAAAGTTATTTTACACTGCACTGAGAGTACACATAGAGTGATGTGAGGCAGGGAACTGAAGGTTAGCTGGGTTTTTTTGGGTATTTGAGGAGTGTCATTTACAGGAGGGATGCTGTAAGGTTGCATTTGTATGGGCTTGCCGTTGGGGCTAGTGGACAGGATTGGGGTAACCCCAGTACATGCAGAGTTCCTTCAAGCTCAGATGGCCTGAGAGAGTCTCCAGGACCTTCCTCTAAAATCTCAGCTCTGCATCTAATTGTTACTCTAAGCTCATTTAGCTGCTAGTTTATCTTACACCAAAATTTTTTTGGTATCACCAAGTTTGTTACCAACATCTGGAGTGGTCACTGACCACAGCTGTAGAAGAACAAACCTGATCCTTGCACTGTTTTTCAGCCCACTCTTCTCTGAAATTTGGTCACCAGGCTCTTTGAATCTGTGAGATTTGTCCCACTGTCCCTACTTGCCTTCCTCTTTCAAGGTGAAAAATACAGGTATGCAGCACCTGCCGGAGCACTCTCAAGGCAAAATGCCTTTTCAAAACCTCTAAGAAGACAGACACAAATAAATTCAAAAGCTCTTTTCCCTCTGGTAGCCCAACAATGTAGGTGAAAACTTTTTTGGTTTCATTAGGTTTCAGACTATTGCTTTCTCCTGCCTGCTGAGCTTCTGTGGGTTTGGTTGTTGAGCGCCGAGTGCCTCCGCTCTAAACTGGAGCCACACTACTGGGTGCTGCTATAATGACCTTTCTCATGAATATGTATTGCCAGATAAGTGAAGCAGAATAAAAGATTAGAAACTTTTAACGCTCAAGACTCTCCAGAGCTTCAGCCCTGGAGATTGGAAAGGTATTCTGCTTCTTCAGGAGCAAAGCAGTGAGAGAGCTTGGGGAATCTTTGTGGTCCATTG